TTCAATCTATCTTGATCTCTTAATAGATTCACTAAATCAGTCAATGAAGCACAGATTACGGTGATAGTTAAAATCTTCCAATTCAACTAAATTTCTCCGTTTCTTTACCACTCAACTGGTAAAAATTTAAATTTAAATTTTTATATGTGGAAGAACTTTTTCATCCAGGTATTAATGCCATATAGGCAAAGTGAATTTACATTAAATACTTTATAAATTGTAAGTATTGAGTTTGGGGGGAGGGGGGATGGGAGGTACAATGGGAGAAAAAGTTAAAACCGGAAGAACCAGGTCTTAGAAAGGGCAAGAATCAGAACATCTCCAGGAATCTAGGTTCAGGAACTAATGGAAATCCCTCTATGGCAGCACCATCAGTATACGTGAACTTCAACCATTTTCAATCCAGGTAGAGTACTTTTAGTTCCAAGTAGAATGTAGTATATAATGGCAAACCCTATTCTTGTGTAAAAACAACAATACAAAAAACTTTTAAATGTAACTTTTTAAAAAAACCATGTGAGGTATCTAAGTGCATAATTATATTAACTAAAATTCCACAGGACAGTAGTCTGTAATAAGCCATGTTCTTGCTTGGGAAGCACTTGCGGATTCCAGGCACAATGTGAAGCACATGTTTGGGTCCCACAGAAGGTGGAAACTGCAGACTGACTAAACACATACCCATTTTTCTCCATGGACCACTAATGAATTCTGGGGCTTCAAAGGAGGCTAGAGAGCAACTGTTAAAACAGACTGAAATTTTCGTAGCCTTGTGATATGAGATTAAAAGGATAAATTTAGAAAATAAATTAAAATGTATAACTAAACGTCTATTATAAGTGAAAAAATAGAATAACGATAAAAAATTCCATCAATGCAAAAGAAAGTAACAAAAAAAAAAAACTAAAAAGAAACTGAAAGATGGGTCAATAGGGGGAAAAAAGCAATGTGGTAGACTTAAACCTAGCAATTACATTAAAGTGAACAAGGAGCCAAAACCGGTTTGGCTCAGTGGATAGAGCGTCGGCCTGCAGACTGAAAGGTCCCAGGTTCGATACCGGTCAAGGGCATGTAACTTGGTTGCGGGCACATCCCCAGTGGGGAGTGTGCAGGAGGCAGCTGGTCGATGTTTCTCTCTCATCGATGTTTCTAACTCTCTATCTCTCTCCCTTCCTCTCTGTAAAAAATCAATAAATAAAAAAAATAATAATAAAGTGAACAAGGAAAGGTTATCACTGGACAAAAAAAATAAGATCTAGTCCTATTCTTAGAAGAAACATTTTAAATATTTAAATTTACATTTAAATATAAGGACACAAGAAGGTTAAAATTAAAAAGATGAGGGAAATATGCCATGCAAACCATAACCAAAAGAAAGCTGATATGGCAATATTTATACCAAATATATTAAACTTTATATCCAAAAAAGTATTACGACAGTTAATAAAAAAAAATGTAGTAATAATTAAAGGGTCAATTCACAGAAAATAAAATAATCTGAAATTTACATTCACCAAATAATTACAGAAGTGCATATACAACCACTGTCAGAGATTTTTCTCATTAGCTGATAGAAGCAGATTATAGAAATAAATAAATCTGTATTAATTTAGAAAATATTAACAACAATTAACCAAACCAACTTAATTGTTGGGTCTGCAGAAGAGCAGACCAAACAACAGCAGAATATACGTTTTTCCTAAAACATTGACCAACATGTCTTTTGTTGAGCCATTTAATAAATTTCAAAGAACTAAAATGATACAGAATATAAGTTTAGATGGTTGAAGAACAAAATAGAAATAAAAATTAGAAAGATAAACTGAATAAACCCACTTAGAAATTAAGCAACACACTCCAAAATAGCCTGTGGGTCAAAGAAAAAAATCATAATAGAAATTTTAAAATTCTTTTAATTGAATGACATTTAAAATAGAACATTGTCAAACTTGTGGGATGCAACTTAAAGCTCTGATTAGAGACAAATTTAAAACTTTCCAGACATGTATTTAAAAAGAAGCAAGGTTTTAAGTCAATGATATAAATTCTTTCTGAATAAACTTTAAAAAGAATAGCAATAAAACCCAAAAAGACTATAAGAAAGAAAATTATCAAACTAAGAGTAGAAATCAATAAAACAAACACATACAAGAGGAGAAAAACAACTAGAGATTGGTTCTTTGAAAAGGTATGTAAATAGATAAACCCTTAGCAAGATAAAAAGGGAAAACACAAATGAATGAAAAAGGGGAATTACTACAGATATTATAAGGAGAAGAAAATTTAAAAAGCATTATTGAACAACTTTATGCTAATTAATTTGAAAATGTTGATAAAATGGGCACATTCCTTGAAAAAATACATCTTACAAAAACTAATGGAAGAAAAACATAGAAAATCCACATAGTATAATTACAACTAAAAAGATCAACTCCTGAATTTAAAACCTTCCCACACGTTCCCTTTCCCTTTCAAATCCAAACTTAACCCCCTCCCCCCAAAAAAACAAAAAACAAAAAACAAACAAAAAATAACTACAGGCCCAGATGGTTTCACTAATGAAATTCTAACTAAGATTTAAAATAGAATGAATACCAATTTTATTCAAACCCTTTTAGAAAATAGAATTGGACTGTGTAACCTGTGTAACCTTGACAGCAAAACCCAAAAGACATTATAAGAAGGAAAAATTACATTAAACATGTCTTGTTAACATAGAAAAAATCCAAAATAAAACATTGGCAAATTTAATCCACCTGCCCGGGTTGCAGAATCACTGATAGACTGCCTCCTGCACGCCCCCTACTGGGGATTGAGCCTGCAACCTGGACAGGTGCCCTGACCAAGAATGGAAGCATGATCTCCTGGTTCATAGGTAGACACTCAACAACTGAGCCACATCAGGGCAAAATATTCTTGATAGCATAAGGAATAATGGATGCAGAGTTGCAAAATTAAACCATATATAATGAAAGGTTTTAGATAGACGGCAAGTGTTCTATGCATTCCAATCCATTCACTTGCTCATCAGTCTATATATGAGAGATGAACAGTTACAGAGAAGAGAGCCTAGAGCAAATTCTCCAATCAATCAACAGAAACAAAGACATCCCCCCACTTTCTAATACCAGCTTCTCAAACAGAGCAAGTAACATATGAGCTGTGAAAAACCACATCAGTTTTCTTTCTGCCCATATCACTGTTCCATATATTTCTATTGCCTGGGACAAATTTTCCCACCAGAAGCTTCATGCTTTAGCTCTAATATATTTGGAAAGATTACTACATAACTCAGAAAAACAGGTAATCGTAAGTTAATTATGCATTCTTTGTGGTTTGTAAATTTACAGTTTAGGGCTGACAACTAAATTCCAAAAAAAGTTTCTTCTACCTTCCTGGACCAAACAAAAAACAAAAGAAACATAAAATCCTTATTAGGCCATAAAGTCAAATTTGAATTTTTAAAAAGTGGTATTCTCAAAATTAATTGATCTAGAAAAATGAGGATTTAAGTTAAGAGGAAACCTGTCAATTAAGTGCTCTTTATATTTTATAAATCCTGTCCAGTTCTGCCATCTGTCCAGTTTGAAGTTCACTACTCAAGGGGTTTCTGAACAAGTTTCAATAATTTCCCAGATGTTTTCTGCTAAATTTCAATTCTAACTGAGAGACAAAGTGGTAGGTTCAAATCCCCAAATGCAAAGATTGTTTGAACTAATAGCAATCTCACATTACTAAACATTGAGACAAAACAAACATGAAGCATGAAAAGGTATTCTATAGAATAGCAAGCCAAGAACATGATGATTTCTAAATTTTAAAAAGAAAGCTTACTGCATGTATACTTAATGTCCTGGTAATTAACAGTAAGAAAGGTATCTGGGGAAAGCCAAATAAAAGTAGGAAACATGAGTAAAAAAGCCCATATATCTTGGTATAAAAGCCAACAGATTCAATAATTAATTTAATCTAAATCAGCATCACCTCATACCTAGAATAATATTGTGTCTCCCAGTTAATTTCACTCCAGTCGGGTACATGCCCCAAATCCATTTGAAAATCTAAATCTCCCACAAACATTTTCACTGTCATTCCTCAGCGACACTATAGCCCCCTATTATCTATCAACCAAGTCTAAACTAAATTCTGGTTGTTCAGGACCACTATGATTTGACCTAATCTAATCTATCCAACATTATTTCTGGAGATGAGAATGGTGAATTAATTATGGCTACAAATTCTCTGCAATTCCTCCCTTCATTTCCTTAATGTTGGGTGGCCCTTTGACTGACACAGACTAACAAAATGCGGCAGAAGTGACAGTGTGCAACTTCTGATGTGTGGCCTCAAGAGGACTTTCAGTTCCTGCTCTTGCCTTTTTAAGGTAAGAAACCTGGGCTGTCCTGCTGGATAAGCCATAGGGGAGGGAACCCGCTGATGGCCCCAACTAATCACCAAACGTGGCACAAGGTCGTCTGGACTATCTTTTAACAGATGCATGTCACATTTTTAATAGACTACAAGTAGCAATGATGATAATTTTCTAGATTCTAGATCCAGTTATTTTATTTAAAGATAAATTTTTTTGTTTCTTTATTTTAATGTTATAGTTTAGAGTAGCTCAGCCTCTCAATGATAATGTTTATGTTATAGTCCATATGATAAAAAATTTAATATACACTAATTTAAATCATATAAAGTTTACATTTAATGTATCAAAATTCCAAAGATAATTATAAATGAAATATAAGTATATAAATTAAATGGCATAGCTTTTCTATATTAAAATTCATATGTAAAATAAGATTAGCCACTATTGAGAAATTCTCTATATTAAATAAACAGATATTGGTATAAAAAGTACCTTATTAAGATATTTAAATTTTTGCGAAAATAGCTTATAGAAATAATTAAGTATTTTTTAATAGCTGAATGAAGCCCTGCACCTAAAAGCAAAGTACAATATTTCATCACTCTTCCTTTAGTTTTTTAGAACCTACCGGAGAGATTCAGCCATTCGCCTCAAATCTTCATTTTGCTGTTTTAAGCGTTCAAGCTTTGCCAGAATCTTGGACAGTTCTCGGCTAGAGTGATCAGGGTGGTCATTATCTCGTACCAAATGGCCACCTATATAAAACAGCAAGGTCCCCCAGGCAAAAAGAATGAGCATAATCCAACGCCAGGAACCAGTCCATGGCCGCATTTTCAGATTTTCAACTCACTCCCCTAGCTTTCTGGAACTCAAAGAATCACCAACATCTTAACTGTTTCCTGTTAGTACAAAGGTAGTAGCCTTCTGCTGTTTCAACACATGATGATTCAGACAAATTAGTGTCTCTGGTAGTGCTGTGGTGAATCTTTCAGAGAGGTCTTCTGGTATGAGTAGGAAGCTTATTGTCCTGTGCTTCATGGACTCTATGCTGTGGAAAGAGTAAGATATGTGTTTATTTAGGATATATAGAAATAGCATATGCTGAGATTCATGGAGTTAAAGGAAACACATTGGTGTTGTCTGGCCAACAGGCTGGCAAATAACTTAAGTGCCAATAATAATAAGTAAAAAGCAAAAGCTTTTAGGTCTGCATATTAAATCAACCATGTACATCAGGGCTCTACCAGATAAATTAACTCTAAACCTGAAAGTCCTCTAAGCTCCATTATCACATTACTTTCTTATTTATATCATTGTGCAACAGGTCATATATGAAGATTAAAAGATTGCAGATTTGAATAATCGATCAAACTAAGCAAAATGTATTCAACCATATAATTTGAGTTAATCTTTCCATTATCTAAAAAAGAAACATGTTCTCTTTATGAGTGAATTCATTCTTAGAAGATCTCAACTCCATTCTCCCTTCATCTCCCTGCTCAGCAGCCATTTTACCACTTAAGTTTGCAGGTGACAGGCAAATTGTCACTTTTAGGATAAATTCTAAAATGACAAACATATTAGCCAAGCAAAGGTTATCAGGGCCATTAAAAAACTGGCAACCACTCCAAAAATCACAGCAAAGGTTCATATGGATTAGGCTAGATTACTGCTTCCTCAAATTTATTTAAAAATACCAACAATGGCAACAGAAGTCTAATATCAGTTAAATCTTAGTAACTATCCGTCTTAAACTACAAATGCACATGCTTTCTCAAGCCTGGTTATGGGTTTCATTTATCATTTCTCCATGATTAGGCTTAGAATTCCCTTTGGAAACAAAACAATTTTCTCCCCTAAGGAAAAATTTGCAAGCAAAGATATATCTGATATTTCCAGAGCTACATAAGAAAAGTCTTATCTCCGGGCATATAGGTCCTTATAAAACAAATGAGAGAAAATAGAAAAGTTGGAGAAGAGTCTTAGAAAATTAGAGCACAGAGCTGCCATTTTTCGACTTTTGAACTTCAAATCTCAATTGATTTTAAATGACTAAATATTTAAAGAGAAGAAAATCTCTTCAAATGAGGTCCTAGAAACATTCTACTTCCTTCCCACTTATTCCTACACTATTTTCCTCATTGTTACTAGATCACAATAGCTAAAACAAAGAATAAAATAGAATTATATTCACTGAAAATTATTTGAGAACTAAGTAAAAAAGCAATAATCCAAGAGAAAACTTGCTGTTTTGAGTGTTGTTTTAATAACTATTCTTAAGTTTATTGAGAACACTCTCTTTATTGACCACTCACTGTTCTGTCTCAAAATCCTTTCTAAAACCCTGCTCCTCTAATCACAGGTACCCCCATATATTCACTAAAACATAAGAATAAGTAAAGTCTATTCAATATCCCAGGTAAAAGATCCAGTCTACTTTTCATGTTATAGAAAAAAATGCAGATATTCAGGGCTTCCTGGTTAAAAACAGATTTAAAAATGAATCCAGCCCTGGACGGTTTGGCTCAGTGGATAGAGTGTTGGCCTGCGGACTGAAAGGTACCAGGTTTGATTCTGGTCAAGGGATGTACCTTGGTTGCAGGCACATTCCCAGTAGGGGGTGTGCAGGAGGCAGCTGATCGATGTTTCTCTCTCATCGATGTTTCTAACTCTCTATCCCTCTCCCTTCCTCTCTGTAAAAGATCAATAAAATATATATTTTTAAAAATGAATCCACTCTGATGATAAGGGATGAATTTAATTAAGTTAACAAAAGAAGTATTAAAATTTGAATTACTAATGTTTGTGACAACATATCTAACACTATAAAATGCTATCATACCATATGCTGAAAATATACCCTACTTAATTCCAAGCTATACCAATAAGATATTAAAACTTTTAAATCTTTCTCTTCATAGTAAAAGTTTACTTAGGAAGATACCTGTAATAAAGGAAAATAAAGAGCTTTCCAAACAAGAATCATTTAAGTAATAAAAAGATGTGCTATAACATTTTACCTAGAATTACAAAAAAAATCATAAATATTCAAAGCCAGCAAAAGTATAACATAAATTGAATACAAAGGTTTACAAAACAATAAATTTTGTTACACAAAGTACGTTAGGTTTTTATAAACCATCATCAAAAAGCCAAAATATTAAATTACTCTATTTCACAGCACTATTGCTATTAGATGAGTTGTAAGAAGCAAGACATTATTGTAGTAGCAAAAATGGTCACTTTCTTAATTAATAGCATCATTTTAACTATGTTTTTTGGAGAGAATATTTCCCCAGACTTTATTGTTATAGTAAAAATGGGATTAACAAAAATAAATCAAGTTAAAAACCAAGTCGTTGTCTATGTAATTTTCCTTAGCATAATTTAAAAGAGCAGTTATAGAATTTTTCCCTATCCATAATAAACTAGAGACGCAGTGCACAAAAATTTTTGCACTTTGGGGGGAGGGGGTTCCTCAGCCCAACCTGTGCCCTCCAGCAGCCAAGGAGCCCTCAGGGGATGTCCACCGGCCAGCTTAGGCCCGCTCCCCAGGGGATTGGGCCTAAGCTGCAGTCGGATGTCCTTAGCACTGCTGAGGAGATGGGAGAGGCTCCTGCCACCACTGCTGTGCTCTCAGCCTTCAGCCCGGCTTTTGGTTGAGCAGAGCGCATTAACCACCAGGGGGAAGCTCCTGCATTGAGCATCTGCCCCCTGGTGGTCAGTGCACATCATAGTGACCAGTAGTTGCACCATTAGGGTCAATTTGCATATCACCCTTTTATTATATAGGATGCTTGCTTATGTATATGTTTATTGTATGAACCATGCCTACAAAAATATAAACTCCATGACTTTTGTCCATTTAGTTCACTGATGTATGCCAAGCACTTAGAGCAGTGTTTGCTACTTAGTGGTACTAATAAATATTTTTAAATAAGTAAGTAAATTAGTGAGTGGAGGATATGATACATAACATATATTAGTTTGACAATGACATAGAATCCAAGCACATTAGCTACAAATGCATTTATGTCCCACTTAAGAAAGCAAATCTGAATGTAGACAGTGAGACAGTGTTATTTTTATAGGGAAAACGGTTCAAAGGTAAAGTTATTCATAAACTTTAGGATCTATTATTGTCAACATAAGTCTTGCCAAGATACCCCTAAATGATTAAAATACACTGGCCTAACAGGCCATAAGATCAACAGTCTTAAAGTTAGCTTTTAACTATGAGAAAATAATTTATCTTGTCTTATTTTCCTCATCTGGAAGAAAGTATGTATAGCCTTTGATATGAAAGCTACTTAATTTATTTGTAGAAGAATTTATTAGTGAAAACATCTCAAATTTATTAGTAAAGATATTTCAACATTAACTCCATGAGATAATTTCTGACTATATATACTAGTGTTGAGATTTCTTCTCAGAGTGGATTGTTTTCAAGTATTTATTAATTCATCCCTATTTGAGATTCACATACTACCCTTTATCTGCAGAATATTAAATGGATTAAAATGTGTCAGGCTTCCTTCCACACATTTATTTAATTAGTAATACCACATTTTTAAAGGTAGTGTGTATTTAAATGATTCATTTCTTTTGTTATTTATAAATGCATTGAGTTATATCTGATTAATGTCTATAACAAAAAACATGTAATTAATTCTTCAAAGCAATTTCTTAAATCTAGAAGCTGCAATATATCATCACTAAGTTCAGGGGCTTTAATCGAGTTACTTAAATGAAGTTAATATATATAAAGCATTTACTATAATATTTGACATGAGGTGTTCAACAAAATTCTCTCTGCTTATTCACTATGATGATATTAGGCTACCATACTGAGAATTCTATACACAGTGAAAATAATCTTTCAAAAATAAACTTTTCTAGAAAAAAAAGGTTGAAAAATATACTGTGCCAGCAAACTGCACTATAAAAATTGTACAGCATGGTTCTTATCAATATTTATAATGAAAAATATCTAGAACAAATCTACCATGTAGTTTACCTAATTCTATACAAAACCATGATTCATTTATACATTCATCCAAAAAATACTTATTGAGTCCCTATTACATAAAAGACACTGTCCTCGGGACTGGGGGTTATAGCAATGAACAAGCAGACAAAAATCTTTGCCCTCAAGAAGTAATATTCTAGTGGATTATAATTTTTAAAAAAGCCTCTTCCCAAAAAGCATCTTCTTGCAGTATCTAACATACCGACTGGTACAATACCATTTATAACACTACTAGAGGCCCAATGCACGAAATTCGTGAAACAGTAGGCCTTCCTTCCCCTGGCTGCCAGCACCAGATTCCCTTTGGCACCTGGGATCCAGGCTTCCCTCACAGCCCTGGCTTTGTCCGGAAAGATGTCCAGAAGGATGTGCAGTCTAATTAGCATATTATGCTTTTATTATTATACTAGAGGCCCAGTGGACAAAAATTTGTGCACTGGTGGGGAGTGGGGGTGTGTGTCCCTCAGCCCCACTTGTGCCCTCTCACAGTCTGGGAGCCCTCGGGAGATAACCACTGCTGGCTTAGGCCTGCTCCCCAGGTGGCAAATGGCAGGCCTATCGCTAGATGCCTGCCCTGCCTCCCCAGGTCGCACACAGGGCAGGGCCGATAAAGGGGTTGGGATGCCGCTCCCGGTCGTGCACAGGGCAGGGCCGATTGGGGGGTTGGGGCAATGCCCCCGGTCTTGCACAGGGCAGGGCCTATCCGGGGGTTGGGGCGCTGCCCCGGGTCACGCACTCAGCAGGGCCAATCAAGGGGTTGGGGCACCGCTCCCAGTCCCGCACAGGGCAGAGCCCATCAGGGTTTGGGGCCCCGCCCCGGGTCACACACGGGACGCCCGGTGGGCCGGCGGATCACTGCTGCCCAACCTGGCCGTCCCGGGTCCGGTCGCACACAGGATATCCACCGCCCAGAATCGCAGATAGCAGGCCCGGATGGCGGCAGGGCAGGCAAGATGGCACTGTCCCACCCTGCCTGCAGTATGCAAATTAGTCGCCATCTTTGTTGGCAGTTAATTTGC